TTATGGCCCTCTGGTGCCCTTTCAAGCATCTACCTTTCTGGTGATGTCACTCTAGTCTCTATGCTGAGCAGGACTGGGGAAGGAGTGTGGGGGCCTGGAGGGGAGGTACGTGGAGCCTCCCAGATCTTACCACCCTGTCCATCAAAACCCACACATTCTGGATCCTGTTCTCTCGGGGTTCCTGCTGCCTTCTGCATGAACAAATTAATCACATCATTCTGGTGAAGGTGGCAGCGGCTGATGAGGTCTGTTGTTCTGAGAGTTCCAGGCTTCTAGTGATGTGGGGAAGATGATTCTTGTTCAGGCAGGCTACAGAGGTAGCATCTGGAGTCTGAGTGGCTTTCCTGCTGGGGGCCAGCAGATGTCCATAGCCACCCTGTCACTGACGTGATCTTTGTCCTGCCATTCTGTAATTTATTTCCAATGGCTGTCAGAACAATCTTCCTAAAGCACAGTTTTCAGAAGAATTTAAACATGTTGATACATAGGCCAGGCACAGTGACTCACGCCTGCCATCCCAGCTCTTTGGAAGGCAGAGGTGGCTTGAACCTGGGTGGCGGAGGTTGCAGTGAGCCGAGATTGTGCCACTTCACTCCAGCCTGGGTGACAGAGCAAGACTTTGTCTCAAAAGCAAAACAAAACTAAACAAAAGGACCACAAATGGGACCATCACCTAGAGCCCTCCCATGCTGCTCTCTCCAGAAGTCCCCAGGCTCAGTCCTCATGTCTATCACCTTGACAGAGAGGCCTTTCCTGACCACCTTCACCACCACCACCACAGTACCCCTGCTTGTGCTAATGCACTCTACACCTGCACCTGATTTCTCTTTATTTTTAAGACAGTCTTGCTCTGTTCCCCAGGCTGGAGTGCAGTAATGCAATGTCAGCTCACTGCAACCTCCACCTCCCAAGTTCAAGCAATCCTCCCATCTCACCCTCCTGAGTAGCTAGGATTACAGGCAGGTGCCACCACGCCTGGGTCATTTTTTTTTTTTTTTTTTTTTGTACTTTTAGTAGAGATGGCATTTCACCATGTTGGCCAGGCTGGTCTTGAACTCCTAACCTCAAGGGATCCATCCACCTCAGCCTCTCAAAGTGCTGGTATTACAGGTGTGAGCCACCGCACCTGGCCGTACCTGCTTTAGTATTTATTCTTCACAGCGCTCTCCACCTGATGTGCTGTCTGTGTTAATGGTTTGTTTATGGATCACCTGTCTCTTTCCCCCTCATTAGAATGATGGATCCATTATGAGAGCAGCAACTCTGTTTTGCTCATTGCTGTTTCCCCAGAGCCTGGAACCCTGCCGGGTATATGATAACCAGGCAGTAGTTATTAGTGGAATGAATGAATGTAAGAATGAATAAATGGCCGGGTGCCGTGGCACATGCCTGTAATTCCAGCACTTTGGGAGGCCGAGGTGGGCGGATTGCTTGAGGTCAGGAGTTTGAGACCTGCCTGGACAACATGGTGAAACCCCATCTCTACTAAAAATAAAAAAGTTAGCTAGGAATGGTGATGCATGCCTGTAATCCCAGCTACTCAGGAGGCTGAGGCAGGAGAATTGCCTGCACCCAGGAGGTGGTGTTTGCAGTGAGTCAAGATCATGTCACTGCACTGTAGCCTGGCAGAAAGAGACCGTCTTAGAAATAAATAAAAATAATTTAAAAAAGAATGAATGAAAGACAAGAAGGCCTAGATAGAAGGAATAAGTTACAGTAATCAATATTGCACAAGGGAAATTACAGTGAATGAGAATTTATTTGACTATTTCAAGATAGCTAGAAGAGATGGATTTTCGTGTTCCCAAAACGAAAGATAAATATTTGAGGTGATGACTGTCTCAGTTACCCTAATTTGATCATTATATATTGTCTACAGCTGGGGTCCCCAACCCTCCTGGCCAAGGATCAGTACCAGTCTGTAGCCTGTTTTTGTTTTTGTTTTGGTTCGTGTTTCCGTTTTTGAGACAGAGTCTCACTCTGTGCAGCGGTGCGATCTCAGGTAAATGTAACCTCCACCTCTGAGGTTCAAGCAATTCTCCTGCGTCAGCCTCCTCAGTAGCTGGAATTATAGGCCTGTACCACCACAGCTGGCTAATTTTTGTATTTTTAGAAGAGACAGGGTTTCACCATGTTGGCCAGGCTGGTCCCAAACTGCTTACTTCAGGTGATTCGCCCTCCTGATTCTCCCAAAGTGCTGGGATTACAAGTGTGAGCCACTGTACCCGGCCTTTTTTTTTTTTTCTTTTTTTTTTCTTTATTTTTTTTTTTTTTTGATATGGAGTTTTGCTCTTGTTGACCAGGCTGTAATGCAATGGCATGATCTTGGCTCTCTGCACCCTCTGTCTCCCAGATTCAAGTGACTTTCCTGCCTGAGACCCCCAAGTAGCTGGGATTACAGGTATGAGCCACCATGCCAGGCTAATTTTTGTATTTCTAGTAGAGACAGGGTGTTTCTGTGTTGGTCAGGTTGGTCTCGAACTCCTGACCTCAGCTGATCCACCTCCCTCAGTCTCCCAAAGTGCTGGAATTACAGGCATGAGCCACCATGCCCGGCTCACCTGTTAGGAACTGGGCAGGCAGCACAGCAGGTGAACAGCGGGTGGGTGAGAAAGGTTTCATCTGTGTTCACAGCCACTCCTTATTGCTGGCATCACCACCTGAGCTCCACCTCCTGTCAGATCGTTGGCGTTGTTAGAGTCTCATAGGACCGCAAACCCTACCGTAAACAGCACATGCGAGGGAGCTGGACTGCATGCTCCTTATGAGAATCCAATGCCTATTGATCTGTCACTGTCTCCTGTCACCCCCAGAAGGGACCATCTAGTTTCAGGAAAACAAGCTCAGGGCTGCCACTGATTCTACGTTACAGTGAGTTTCGTAAGTATTTCGTTACATATTACAATGTAATATTAATAGAAGTAGGCCGGGCATGGTGGCTCATGCCTGTTATCCTAGCACTTTGGGAGGCTGAGGCAGGCGGGTCACCTGAGGTTGGCAGTTCAAGACCAGCCTGGCCAACATGGTGAAACACCATCTCTACTAAAGGTACAAAAACTGGCTGGACATGGTGGCAAGAACCTGTAATCCCAGCTACTTGGGAGGCTGAGGCAGGAGAATTGCTTGAACCTAGGAACAGAGGTTACAGTGAGCCACGATCGTAGCATTTTGGGAGGCTGAAGTGGGCAGATCACCTGAAGTCAGCAGTTCGAGACCAGCCTGGCCCACTGATGAAACCCTGCCTGTAATAAAAATACAAAAATTAGCTGGGTGTGGTGGTAGGAGCCTATAAGCCAAGCCACTCGGGAGGTTTAGGCAAAAGAATTGCTTGAACCCAGGAGGTGGAGGTTGCAGTGAGCTGAGATCATGTCCCTGCACTCCAGCGTGGGCAATAGAGCAAGATTCTATCTTTAAAAAACCAAAAAAGGCAAGCCATTTACAATGGCTTATACCTATAATCCCAGAACTTTGAGAGGCCAAGGTGGAAAGATCACTTGAGTCTCGGAGTTCCAGGTAATCCTGGGCAACATAGCAAGATCCCATCTCTACAAAACATTTTTTAAAAATTAGGCACAGTGGCATGTGCCTGTAGTCTCAGCTACTCAGGAGCCTGAGGCGAGAGGATTGCTGGAGGCCAGAAGGTGGAGCCTGCAGTGAGCCATGCTTGTGCCACTGCACTCCAGCCTGGGTGACAGAGTGACACCCTGTCTCTCAAAAAAAAGAATTCAGAGTAGAGAAAAGTATGAATTGTAAATTCAAGCATGCCACATCCCAAATTTCCTTCAGAAATGTTGATGCACACCCCAAGAAATCTGCATTCATTTCCCAGCGCTGCCTTAACAAAGTACCCTAAACTGTGTGGCTTCAACCACAGAGATTTATTCTCACAGTTCTGGAGGCCAGGAGTCTGAAATCAAGGGTTTTTTATTGTTTGTTTGTTTTTCCTGTGAAGACTGTGAGGGAGGGTCTGTCCCAGGTCTCGCTCCTGGATTCTCAGAGCCTCCAGAGTTCCTTGGCCTGTAGGTGGTCTTCTGTCTCTGTCTTGACATTGTCTTCCCTTGGTAGGTGTCTTTGTCTACACATCCCCTTTTTATAAGGACACCAGGCACACGGGATTAGGATTCACCCTCATTACCTCAGCTTAGCCTGATCACATGTGAAGAGCCTATTTCCAAATAAGGTCGCATCCACAGACCCTGCAGCGTACGGCTTCAGCGTCTTTTGGGGAGACACAGGACAACGCATAACGCTATAGATTTGCAAATATTTTTAGTTTCAGTTTCTGGGTTTTGTTTTTTTCTTTTTCACGTCAGGTGGGTGATGTGATGATACCGTAACAAGTTTTGAGGAAAGCACATGTCATACAATAGCATGAAAACCCAACCGTCATGCTTAGGTTTTGGGTTTTTAATTTTAATTTTAGTTTTTCTCGAGGCAGGGTCTTGCTCTGTTACTCTGGCTGGAGGGTAGTGGTGCAAACATAGTTCACTGCAGCCTCGACCTCCTGGGCTCCAGCGATCTTCCCACCTCAGCCTCCCAAAGTGCTAGGATTACCGGAATAAGCCACCACCCCCGGCTGTTTCCTATTTTTTGTTTGTACCTTGCTCTTTTTACTCAAAAATACACATTTGTGGCTGGGCATGCTGGCTCATGCCTGTAATCCTCAGCACTTTGGGAGGCTGAGGCAGGTGGATCACTTGAGGTCAGGAATTCAAGACCAGCCTGGCCAACATGGTGTAACGCCTTCTCTACTAAAAATAGAAAAATGAGCTGGATGTGGTAGTGCATGCCTGTAATCCCAGTGACTTGGAAAGCTTAGTCAGGAGAACCACTTGAACCCTGGAGGCAGAGGTTGCAGTGAAGCCAAGTTCATACTACTGCGCTTGAGACTAGGTGGCAGAGCAAGACTCTGACTCAAAAAAAAAAAAAGAAAAGAAATATACTTACACACACACACACACACACACAAAATACACATACAGACACACAGACACCTTGGCAATCTTTTTATATATCAGCATTCACTGGTACAGTTTAAATTCCATGGTAGATTTCATTTAGAGTAATACAATCTAAATACTATTCTATTAAGTTCTACAACCTGCTGAGGCAGGTGAATTGCTTGAATCTGGAACGTGGAGGTTGCAATGAGTCGAGATTGCACCACTGCACTCCAGCCAGAGTACAAATAGCAGCTTTAGACTTGATCCTGCCAGGCATGACCACTGGGCATGTTCAGCAGTGGATCATCGATTCTGCCTCAGTTTCCATTGTATTCTCAGAGGGCTGGAGTGGAGCATCTGAAGCCAGGGCTGGATGTCTTGCTGCATAAATACTCTCTCCACTTCTACCTGTGCCGTCAGCCTGGGTGGGGAGAAGACCCATGTCAGGGGAGAGCTGTCTTCCTCCTAAAGCCCCATGTGTCTGATAGGTGAGACTTCTGCCTCATTTCCAGAACTCCCAGGGACCCTTGAACATCTTGTTATTTGCTACATGTGCAAGCACAGATTGCCTTTACCTCGCCTTGGACCTTCCTGCCGCTTCCCATAGAGCTGTCTGAAGCCTGGAAATGTTTATTTGCCTTTGGAGAAATTCTAGTTCCATCTGCCCCAGACTCATCAAAATTACAGTAGAAGTCTGCGCTCTGTAACTTTCTGGAGCCTGTTCCAGCAGACAGGAGGTCCCTTCTTCAAGTCCTCTTTGTAACCCCATACAAGATGAGGAAGCTGCGGCAGATGAGCTCATGAACGCAAAGTGCCAGAGCTTGGTTTCAACCTTGAATACCTGGGCCCAGGAATTCGAGGCTTGGGTTCAACCTTAAAGTTTGTGGGATTTAAGGTTGGTGTGGGAAGTGTTCTGTTTGGCACCCTCTACCCCGGTGTGTGGGGGTTGGGTCCTGGGTTGCCTGGAGAGCCCCAGTTTATGCCTGTTGACCTGACACATTTGTGACTAGTGTTCTCTTGAACTGCAAAGTGTTGTGGTTTGGGACAGAAATTCTGTGCTCACCCTGTTCACATGCACCCTGAGGAAGCTCTGACACCACCGCACAGCCTCTGATACACACTGGAGAAAGCCAGTGCTAGGATGTGCCTGTCGGCAGGAAAAGCTGTGAGCATCTACATCCACACGTAGACATATTTGTACACATATTCGTATACACACATCCATATATATACATGTCTTTACACACATCCACACAGACGTCTGTATACCCACACATTCATACACGTCTACATATAGACACATCCATGTACACATCACTGTACACACACATCCATATCCACACATTCGTACACACATATCTGTGTATTTCCATATATCTGTATACATACACATCTACACACATCCATGTACAGATGTATCTGTACACAGATGCATACACATTTGTACACACACATCTGCACACATGTCGGCGGGGATCAGGGAAACACAGCATTAAGTAGTGATGAGTATTGTTTTGACATCTTTTGGGTGAACTGACCAGCTAGTGGCTATCAGAGGGGTGTGTGGGGTGTGTCTGCAGGTTGGCGGGGCCATCAATGTGGTATTTGTAGTTGCTCTTGGCTTTTCTAGAGGATCTCTTGTGTGGGGCCTTGGAGTGTAGTGAGCTGTCCCCTTGGCCCACCTGCCAGTGTCTGCACCAGTGACCAACAAAGTTCTGGCTTCACGGGCCTCAAGGACTTTGGATTGTACCGTAAGAAACACTAGTGTGCCATCATTGGACGTGTCTGGTCACCACGTGGAGATCCGTTGCCAGCGGCAGGATGGGAGCCGGGAGAGCCAGGAGGATGTTGCAGTGAGACAGGCGAGATGACCAGGGCTGGAGCTGGTGTGCCGCGGTGGTGGCAGATGGGGTTGACTCTAGTCACATTCCATAGCAACGGTCAACTGCGTTCCTGATGGATCCAACGAGGGGGTTGTCAAGGAGAGAAGAGGAGTCCTTTGTGTTTATGTCTGAGTTTATAACACAGGTTTCTAATTTTGAGAAATCTGGAGTTTAAAAAATTGGGGAAGGGCTGGGCATAGTGGTTCACACCTGTAATCTCAGCACTTTGGGAGGCCAAGGCAGGCGGATCACTTGGGATTAGGAGTTTGAGACCAGCCTCACCAACATGGTGAAACCCCGTGTCTACTAAAAATACAAAAATTAGCTGGGCACTGTGGTGTGCGTCTGTCATCCCAGCTACTTGGGAGGCTGAGGCAGGAGAATCATTTGAACCCCGGAGGTGAAGGTTGCAGTGAACCTGGATCCTGCCACTGCACTCCAGCCTGGGTGACAGAGTGAGAGTCCGTCTCAAGAAAAATTGTTAACTGGGGAAGGATTGGCATAGAAAGCCATTAGCTGGGCTGTCTCCTGCCCTCTCTCCAGTCCCAGTTTGTGTGATCATGGCTGGGCTTGCTGGTCAAGCCTGTCATTCCAGGTGACACCACAGCCTTTTCAGGGCTAGAGAGACCTGCAGCCACCCATGGTCGGCAAGGCCGAGTGGTTCCAGGCGCAGCTGGAGATGAAACTGGTGACAGGGGCAGCCCTGTCATTTTTACAGGGACCCTCACATGGCAGGCGGGCAGCAAGCTGGCCTTTCTGCATCGCTGAGCCATCTGCTGAGTGACCAGGCCTACGTGACAGGTAGGAGATGAAACCCCTTGTGCCCTGTCTCCTCCGTGGCCAGGCTAGGGTGTGGGCCAAATGCCTTCTGATGGTCCTCATCACCCCAGCCTCTCAATATTAACATCCCATCTAAGGACAGACGCAGGCTCAGTGTGAGCTCCCAGAACCTCCCCCAACTTCCAACTGTCCCCACAAACCTTAAAATAGCAGATTTTGGGCTGTTTTTATTCTCACCCACGATAAGAAACACATGTAATATTTTGACCTAAAATACACGGGGCATTTAAAACACACACACAGGCTGAGCAGGTGCTGGCCCTGTGCCAGAGCCAGGGTGGTGGCACCTGGGTGTGCCGCTTATGTGTTCTGAAAGATTCCAAGGTAAGAACAGGAGCTGAGGCTGGGGGCACTTGGAGTGGCGGCTGTTGACCATCTCATGTGGGTGTTTGGGAGTCATAACAGCTGGCCCATTTCCACCTGTGTGTTCTGGATGACCTTCAGTATTGCAGAAGCAGAAGTTTCAGAAGGTGAAATTTACCCAACAACCCATGATGTGTGGTAAATTCTTTTGTCATCTGTCCTATTTGATTTTGTTTCTTTTTTTTTTTTTTTTTTTTTCCTTTGAGACAGTCTCACAGTGTTGTTGGGACTGGATACAATGGTGCAATCTTGGCTCACCACAGCCTGTCTCCAGGGTTCAAGCGATTATCCTGCCTCAGCCTCCTGAGTAGCTGGGATTACAGGTGCCCACCACCACACCTATCTATCTATCTATCTATCTATCTATCTATCTATCTATTTATTTATTTATTTATTTATTTGTATTTTTGTAGAGATGGGGTTTCACTATGTTGGCCAGGCTGGTCTTGAACTCCTGACCTCAGGAAATCTGCCTGCCTTGGCCTCCCAAAATGCTAGGATTACAGGCATGAGCCACTGTGCCCAGCCTCATTCTACTTTATTCTTGGGCCAAGCACAGTGTCCCATGCCTATAATCCCAGAACTTTGGGAAGCCAAGGCAGGAGGATTGCTCGAGTCCAGGAGCTCAAGATCAGCCTGGACAACATAGACCCCTGTTTCTAAAATATATGTATACACACACACACACACACACACACACACACACACACATTAGCCAAGGTGGCGGCACAAGTCTGTAGTTCCAGCTACTACTTGGGAGGCTGAGGTGGGAGGATCAAATGAGCCTGAGAGGTCAAGGCTGCAGTGAGCCGTGATCAGGCCTGTCTGTGGGCTGTTGCGCAGGGCACAGGTGTTGACTCTTCAATGAGCCCCCCAACCCCAAGGCCCCTGGCATATCCCGAGTCCCCTCTTTGCCTGGGGCTCAGGGTGTTGGTCCTTGGGGGCTGACCCTTTCTCCTGCCTGCTCTCTGTCCCGGCAGCACTGCTGGAAAGGAAGGAGGAGGATGGACACTGGGCGGCCACACTGGGTGCCGAGCTCGTCGTGTCAGGACTGGCGGGGCTGTGTGCCCTTAGCCTGCTGCAGCAGCGAGGCCGGCTCTGGACCAACTCCCTGAGGATCCAGTGCAGCCTGCTGGGTAAGGCACTGCATGTCTGGCTGTGGGGCAGTTGGAGGTGGCAGGGTCTGCCCTGTTTCTTGAGGCTGTGGCTCTGCAGGCTAAGATATGCTGTCACCACAGGATTTTCCATTAGTCATTCTGTGGGCTCTGAGTAGGACTTAGTACCTGCTCATTTAAAACAACAACAAAAAAAGGTGTGTCTGCTGAGGGGACATTCATCCCTCTCTTAAGCCCTCCCCAAGAACAGGTTCTAATGGAGTGACAGGTGAAGCAGACCACAGGGCTGGGAGGACACGGCTGAGGCCAGGCTGGGCTGGGCCCTCCTCCTCTTGGAGCCCTGGTGGAGGGCTGCCTGGCAGAGGAGGGCAGGGGTCCGTTGATCAATCTTCACAGCTCAGGCAAAGCAGCCAGCGCACCAGTGCAGCACCGGCCAGAGGCTGCCGACAGAGAGTGGCTTAGATGGCGCTTACCAGCTGGAGCTGGGCCATGAGCTCCACAGCACACAGATCCCGGCCTCAGCCACAAGGTAGGGTGCCCAGGCCAGGTGGGACATCCAGAGAGAGCACCAGAGTCTGGCAAGGTGATCTGAGTACCCTGAGCTCTTTCCTAAAGAGATGAACTTGCTCCCAATAGCATAGCCACATAGGACAGCTGGAACTCAGCCTTGGTGACTTTCCCTTTTGCATCTCCAACCCCACGTCCTCAGAAGTAAGAAACGCTTGTCACAGTGCCAAGGACTGGAAGGAGGGCTTGGGAAACAGATTTTCAATCATAAAAATGCATTTTGGAAACAGCAGTTCACTTAGTTTTTCCCAGAGCAGGGGTTCTTTTGCTGAGTTAGGAATCACGGTGTGCTCAGCTGCTGAACAGGTGGTAGTTCTTCTATAGCACGCATTTAACCTTATACATATTTTTTTCTTTTCACATCCAGTCCTGCAAATGGTGGTGGCTTATTTATTTTTTTTCTCGCTGTGTCACCAGGCTGGAGTGCAGTGGCATAATCTCAGCTCACTGCAACCTCTGCCTCCCGTATTCAAGTGATTCTCCTGCCTCAGCCTCCCAAGTAGCTGGGACCACAGGCATGCACCACAATGCTTGGCTCCTTTTTGTATTTTAGAAGAGATGGGGCTTCACCATTTTGGCCAGGATGGTCTTGATCTCTTGCCCTTGTGATCCACTGGCCTCAGCCTCCGAAAGTGCTGGGATTATAAGTGTGAGCCACGGTGCCTGACCCAACCTTCTTTTTTTCATGGGCTTCTGTCTTATTCTTACAAGGTCTCCAAGCTAATATTCCTTATGCCTGCTGCCTCAGTTTCTTCAGTCTTCTGCCTGCTTTCTTTTGCGTGTACAGCCTTGTTTCTGTGACGCTTACTGCCACAGGGTCTCTTTCTGGTTCCACGATGAGCTCTTTGTGGCCGCATGGTCCTTAAATGCTCACAGCGGCTGCCTTGACTGTCCTCCTGGCAGGACTAGGAACTTCTGGCCTCTCCACCATCTGGGGCTAAGTAAGACCGTGCCCCATGCCAGGGTAGGTGTCCCTCTGACTGGCTATTGAATGCCCTCTCTATATCCTCTCTGCTGTGCCAGAGTCCCATGGCCACCCACAGGGCAGTGAATTTGAAAGAGTGCTCCATGACTCGGCCCACTGTGCTGTTCACAGCTGTCATTGACTACAGTGAGAGAAAGCAGGAATGTCGGCACAGGGAAGGGGGCCAGGGCGGAGTCCAGGGGGAACCAGGGCCAGCACCCAGTGTCCTCTCCCAGTCCAGCGCCTTCACATGGGAGGCACTTGGCTGTCCCAGCACTATGTCACCCAGGGTATTTAGTGGGGCTGCCTAATTGGCAGGTGCTGCTTGGCTCAGAGCACACTGTCAGACTCCTAGGAGGCAAGCAGGGGTTCAGCATAAACCCCGTTTGTGCAAACAGTTCAGGTGCAGAGAGCCTCGTATCACTTCTAGGAGTGGGGGAAACCCCCAATCCAAGTTCCCAGACAACTTGTAAGCAGGCCATGCAGAGGCGGCTCGGGTTTACTGTAACAACTCACCTGCAATCTTCAGTGCCTTCTACTCTATTTCTTTTCCCCCACTTCCCCCACCATTTTAATCCCAGGAACAGGCCCTATCTCCTCCAGACCTGGGCTGGGCCTCTGAGCTCCCCAGAGGCCTCATGGTGGGTGGTGGCTGCCTTTTGCAGGGCCCCTGGCCACACTGAAGAACGCCTTCCTGGAAGTGATGCTGCAGCCCCTGGAGGTGGTGTGGCGGGAGTAGGCAGAGGAGGCCATGTGGTGGCTACAGGCCTGGGTTTCCGGGATGCCAGTCAACCGGGGTCCCAGGCCCATTAGGGTGGCCCGAGGGGCCGTGAAAGGCACCCTGGAGCTGGAGACTGAGGGCAAGGATGGGGCGTGGCTGGCAGTTGAGGACAACAGAGACAGCTCTCTCTGTCCCCTCCCTCTCCAGGTGGCCCATTCGATGCTGTCCGGGGCTGAGGCCACATTCTCACGGGCACTGAAGAGGCTCTGCAAGCCCCTGCTGGACCTGTATGACCTCATAACCAGGTAATGCAGGGTTGGGAGTGGCGCATCCGGCCTTCCTGCCACGTATCAGGCGCAATGCTGAATGCGTCGACACGCTCTGACTCACTGACTCCTCTGACTGCCCCATTTCACAGGAGAGAAAGCTGGGGTTTCTTCCTTACTCCACGGAGACCTCACGAGCATGGTCCCAGTGCAGGCAGGATTTTAGGAGCTGCTGCAGAGGGCCACCGTGGGCCAGGCGGACCCCTGCCTTCAGGAAGCTCAGTTTTACTCAGAGACAGACACGAAGCATGAGAAATCTACAGCAGGGTGTGCACCGCTCCCTGCAGAGAGCCTGAGAGTCACCTCTTAAGCAGGCCGTTCTTCTCTGTCACATTTCCTTGTTTTGTTTTGTAATTTTTTTTTTTTTTTTTTTTAGATGGAGTCTCACTCTGTCTCAGTGGTGTGATCTCAGCTCATTGCAGCCTCTGCCACCTATGTTCAAGTGATTCTCCTGCCTCAGCCCTCTGAGTTGCTGGGATTACAGGTGTGTGCACTACTATACCTGGCTAATTTTTTGCATTTTTAGTAGAGACAGGGTTTTGCCACTCCAGGCTGGTGTCAAACTCCTGACCTTCAGTGATGCAACTCCTTTGGTCTTCCAAAGTGTTGGGACTACAGGCATGAGCCACCACTCCTGGCCTGTTTTGTAATCTTTTACAAACACATAAAAGCCCTTCTTTCTTGCAGGCTGTGCAGAAGATGACCACAGGCTGGGTGTGGCCCACTGCCCATCGTTTACCACTACTGAGCCATACATTAGGTGGCAAATGCTAGAGAAGGGACATTGTTGAGATGGTGGGCAGAGGAACCTGTGGTGTGGCCATGGCCAGTGTTGAGAAGGTACAGTCTGAGCAAGAGCCATGGGGCCAGTGTGGGAACAGAGCTGCAGGTGGGGGCACCACTGCACAGAGGCCTGGGAGAGAGATGTGCCTGGCCTGTTTTTGAGATGGAGTCTCGTACTCTGTCACCCTGGCTGGAGTGCTGTGGTGTGATCTCAGCTCACTGCAACCTCTGTCAAATTCAAGTGATTCTCCTGCCTCAGCCTCCCAAGTAGCTGGGATTACAAGCATTCATCACCATACCTGGCTAATTTTTGTGTTTTTAGTAGAGACGGGGTTTCACTATATTTGCCAGGCTGGTCTCAGAATCCTGGGCTCCAGAGACTCGGTGCTGGGATTACAGGCATGAGCCACCTTGCCTGGCCTGTATGAATAGCAAGGTGGTGGGGCTGATGTAACTGGGAGGGACTGGGAGGTCCCAAGGCTTGGGTGGTGAGGGGAGGACTCTGGCTTCTGCTCTGACCTAGGAAGGATGTAACACAAATTTCTGCTCCTGCCATCTTGCAGTCAGAATGTAGGCTGAGGAAGGGAAGAGCTCCCAGGGCGGGGCGTTGGCTTGGTTGAAGAATCGCCTGTCTGGTTATTCGCCTACCTGGTGAGTGGGATCTGGTGGGAATGCCAAACAACTGGATTCAACTGGCAGTGAGGGTGTTGAAGCTGCTTCCTGCCCACAGCTGCAGGGCCTCTGAGCTCCCTAAAAGGTAAGTGAGGCTACCTGTCCCTCCCCCTCACTGGCCCATCAACAACAGAATGTGCAATGTTCCTCTTCCCACTCCGCCCCCACCTGAGCCAAGATCTTCTTAATCATTCAGATCTCACAGGCTTGAGCCTGCTCTACATATTAAGAAAGTTCCAGTCCTCTGCTCAGCTGTAGAAACTTCCTAGACCTGTTGGTCGGGCACACTGGTTCATGCCTGTAATCTCAGCACTTTGGGCAGATCACTTGAGGTCGGGAGTTCCAGCCAGCCTGGCCAACATGGTGAAACCCTGACTCTACTAAAAATTCAAAAATTAGCCAGGCATGGCAGTGAGTGCATGTAGTTCCAGCTACTCTGGAGGCTGAGACAGGGGAATCACTTAAACCCAGGTGGCAGAGGTCACAGGTAGTCGAGATCGTACCACTATACCCGAGTTTGGGAAACAGAATGAGATTCTGTCTCAAAAACCAAAACAATTTCCTACACCTTCCAGCTCCTGTCCTTGGCATCCCCACACACAGGCCCTATGCTGCCCAAGACCCGGGGGGCAGATCAGACATGACATCAGACATCTGTGTCCTCAAAATAGGGCAGCTTGTTTCTGTCCAAGCCTCAGCCATCACCTCTACTGTCAGGCCAGCGTCTGTCCTCCTCCACCTCATTATGGGATTTCCTAGAACAAGGACAGCCCCGAGAGGCAACCCAATGCTCTCCACTGGCAGGGCTCTTCCTGTGGACCTGTGAGCTCCCCCTCTGCAGCCAAAAGGAGCAAGGCTCGGCTAGGCATAGCGACTTGTCCTGTGTGTTCCCTCTAGGAACTACTTAGTGGTGGTGACACTGCCACTGCTGCCTCGGGGAGGGGAGGGCAGGGATGAGCCCCTGGACATGGCCTGGGTGACCAGCTACCTGGTGGTGTAGAAGCTGCTGCGGCCACTCTGAGAGGTGTCCAAGGCCAACATGCTCTCGTGTTCTACCAGCTCAGATGCCGCCTGCTGCATGATCTCTGAGAGTTTGAGTCCTGCCCCGAGCTGTGCCACCTTCCTCCCTGGGAGCCCCCTGCCCCATGGGCACAGCAGCAGACCATGCAGGGGCAGGTACTGTGGGAGCACATGGAAGCCTACAGAGGCTTGTGGCATCACAGTGCCAGGCCCAGATCTTATTGGACTTCCCAAGGTCTTATGGGACTAGAGCTGAGGCTTCTCATCCTGCTTTTCTCCAGATTATAAGGCCTGGCCCAGCAGTGCAGCCAAGGGTGGTGCTGGGATGACCGGCTCTGGGCTGCTGGGGAGCTTGCATGTGGCTCGGGTGAGTCTGCTAACCTCTGTGGACTCGGCTTCCTCCGCTGTGAAATGCAGGTAATCACGTGGCTCACTCACATGGGTAACGGGCATGTACAGTTCTTAACGCACGAGGGAGCCCCTCATGTCCATGGGCAGCCAAGGTACCCAGGCTTGACAAGGAGCGGTTTATCTTGTGTGGGACTCACAGGGAGGCCTACGGCTCCCTAGAAGCATGGGTGTAGTCAGGTCTAAGCAGCACACTGATTTTTTAGAAAACAGCCTGGTCTTGAAGTTGTGTGTGTGTCACCATGGGCTGCTCTGTGCCCTCAGTTCTGACAGCTGACCACGGCGCTGGTAGTGCCTCCCTTGGGATGCTGACCCTGGCCAACAGGTGTCTGGCTGTGCACGATGGATGGTGCTTTCCCGCCATGGGCACGAGCACCCCCAAGGCACGGCTCAGGGGCCATGCTGGCTGGACGGGTCCCACTTGCTCCTTCACAGGCCAGGTCAGCAGGACACTGCTGTCATGTTTGAGGGAGCCATTGGCCATCCACTTAAACAGTCCATGCTTTTCTCTCCGTGGCCTCCCCCACCCCCACCCCCACCAGTAGCTTCCTTGAGATTAAATGGATGACTGGTATGATTTTTTTTGAGACTAGATCTCACTCTGTTGTCATGGTTGGAGTGCAGTGGTGCGATCTCGGCTCCCTACACCCTTGACCTCCTGGGTTCAAGTGATCCTCCTGCGTCAGCCCCGCCAAGTGCTGGGATGGCTTAGCGCCACCATGCCTGGCCGATGTGTGAAATTTAAGTGCACCATTCAGTGGCTTCTAGTTTATTCAGAGCGGTGCATGCCTCACCACAATCGATTTTATAACGTTTTTATCATCCGCAGCTGCCAGCCTGCCTGCTGTGTCCAAGGCTGTGCCTGCTGTGGACATCTGATGTAAACAGAGGTATGACTGTGGCCTCTGAGCCAGGCTTTGTTACTTAGCACAGCAGTTTTGTAGCGGTTCTGGGGACTCCATTCCTTGTTAGGGCTGAATTGGTCCATAGCCCTTCAGCTCATGTCATCCTGAAGCAGGTGAGGGATCGCTGGGCCGCTGGCTGCTGCACAAGGAGAGGGGGACTCTTGGCCTCAGGGCAGGCTAAGCTGGGGCTCTAGGCAGTGGGGTGCCCAGCAGGCATTGGGCTCCCACTGTGGTGGGTGGAGCTGGCTCCACTCACCCTGCCTTTGGGGCTGCTTCTCCCCAGACCATGCCCTGGTTGCCCGAGCCCAGCATGTGGTGACTTTCGACAGCCGGGTGTGGGACCTCAGCACCCAGTGTGGCAGCATCCTGCTGGCCCAAGACTTTGCTCACAACACATTCTCCCTGATGCTGAGTCGGACAGGCTCGGGGCTTACCGCCCTGATTGTGGAGCTGAACCACGTGACCCTCATCTTCTACCCCAGCCTGCAGGTGAGGAGGAGAGGCCCGAGCTTCCCCCGGAGACCTGTGCCTGTGGCAGGTTGCCTGGGGAGATGGCCCTTTCAAACTTGTCCCCTGGCTGTGGGTCGGCCCTCCTGCCTACCCGCTCTGGTCCACAGGCCTACAGGCTGTACAACTCCTCGCTGCCAGGGGAGAGCTGTCCAGACCTCCAGCCGCTTCTTGCCATGAAAAGGAGGGACGTCCCCAGGATTGAGCTGGCCAGTGAGGATGGGGTCTCCATCTCCTGTGACGTGCCCACCGGCCTCTGCAGCCTGACTCTGGGCCTGTGGCACCACGGTGAGTCTGGGCCCTGGCGGGGTTGGCCCCACCACCGAGATCCTTTTCGGGATGCACCATTCTCAGCTTCCAGTGTGACAGGTCCCCGGGCTGTAGGCAGCTACTGTGGTTGAGATGATGGCACTGAAGTCCAGGGCTTTCTGCCCCCACCCCTGGGATATGTGGCTCCAAGGTGGATTGGCCTTTCTGTGGTCCCTCTGCCAAGGAACATAAAGGGTGGGCCTGGATTCTGGCCACTCGAGCTGAGGCCATGGGGAGGGGACGGGGGCGGGGGGAGACACATGCTGTCCTTAGACCCTGTGCTTTCTCTCCTGCCTTTGATGAGGGTATGGAGCCAGAGCCCTGCTCTGGGAGACTGGGGTGGAGGTGGCAGGATTCTACCACTTCTCAGTGTGCCTCAGGTTTGTCTCTCATACAGGTCCCCAGGGGGAGGATCATGGGCTCTCAGGACCTCCTCAGCTTCCCTCCTCCCCACAGGCATATCCGCTGGCCTTCTGGGCACCAACGACAATAAAGCAGGCAATGAGCTGATGTTGCCGGACAGCTCTGTGGCCTGCAGCGTGGAGGAGCTCAGCCTGGCCTGGCAGGTGAGCAGGTGCACCTGCCCTTCCTCCCTCTGGGTGAGGCTCTTGAGGGCTGCTGGCTGCAGAGTCCCAGGAGAGGCAGGTGCCCTGCTGGCTCTGCAGAGGTCTTTGCAGACCCAGGGTTGGGGGAGTCTCCTGCTGAGGCCGATGTAGGTGGGGGAGCCACATGGTCCAGCGGGAGGCCTACATCTTGTGTCTGTCCCGCCAGGTGGATGGTGACTGTAGGGCCGCCGAGACGACTCAGCCAACCTGCCCAGGACAGAGCCCCACCTGCCCGGCCTTCTTCCAGGGCCCCGGCTCCAGCTTGGGGAACTGCTTCTGGGTGGTGAGTGTGAGCCTGGGCCCCGGGACACAGAAAGCCCCTTCCCCAGTCTACCCTGGGGAGTGGCATGGAGGAGGGGCCTGAGATAGAGTGGGTGGGTGGCCCTGATTTCAGGTGGACCCTGCACCATTCCTCAGCCTGTGTGTGCAGGACCCCTGTGGCATTGGGGAGCTCCAGCTTGCCTGCACTCTGGGGACTGCCTACATCCACCTGTATGCCTGCAGCTTCATGTCCCTGACCCCTCCTCCACAGTGCGGTAAGCTGCCCAGCTGGCTGGCACTCTGCCCCCCCCCCCCGTCTGCCTTCCAGCCGGAGGGAAAACCCATGTCTCTCTCTTGCCAGGGAGGACAAATAATTGGCATTCAAGGAGCTAAGAGTAGAAACAAAACATTTGCAGCCCTGACACAGCTTGGATGTGTGTCCCCTCCAAATCTCATGTTTGTTAGAGGGGGTACCTCCCTCATGGATGGCTTAGCACCCTCTGTTTGGTGAAGCATGACTTCTTGCTCTATTACTTCCCATAAGAGCAGTTTGTTTATAAAGAGCCTGGCCCCTCCTCTCTCTCTTTGCACCCCCTGCTGTTTCTGCCATGATCATAAGCTTCCCGAGGCCTCACCAGAAGCCAAGCAGATGCCGGAGCTGTGCTTCTACAGCCTGTAGAACTGTGAGTTAATTAATTATATCTTTTATTTATGAACTGTCCAGGCTGGAGTGTAGAGGCACAATTTTGCCTCATGTCAACTTCCCCCTCCCAGGTTCAAGCAACACTCCTACCTCAGCCTCCCAAAAATACAGTCAGGTATTTTTGTAGAGATGGTGTTTTGCCGTGTTGGCCAGGTTGGTCCTGACTTCCTGACCTCTGGTGATCCACCTGCCTCGGCCTCCCAAAGTGCTGGGATGACAGGTGTGAGCCACCATGCCCAGCCTCACTAGGAATTTGAATGTACACTCCCATTTAGAGAAAATGCTCAGCCCCTGTTTTTCCTCTGCTCTCATAGTGCAAAAATCATCATCAACACAGAAGATGACTTCTGTGAGCAAATGTGTGGGGGTTTGTCCCCACTACCAGGGTGGACCTCTAATTCAGTTCTAACAGTAGCTACCTTGAGATTCTCTAGCCCATGCTGCATATGATTGCTACAGCCAAAGCCCCACTAAAAGGGCACAGAGAGAGGTCAGTATCAACAAGAGGAGTGGAAAATATGACAAAGGGAGGATGAAATGAGAGGATCCAACATGTCTCAAAGAAATTCCAGGCCGGCTGTGGTGGCTCATCCCTGTAATCCTAGCACTTGGAAGGCCAAGATGAGTGGATCACCTAAGGTCAGGAGTTTGAGACCAACCTGGCCAACATGGTGAAAACCCATCTCTACTAAAAATACAAAAATTAGCCAGGAATGGTGGTATGTGCCTTTAATTCCAGCTACTTGGGAGGCTGAGGCAGGAGAAATGCTTGAACCCAGAAGGTGGAGGTGGCAGTGAGCCAAGATCTTGCCTCTGCACTCCAGGCTGGTGACAGAATGAGAGTCTCTCAATAAAAATTCCAGAATGAAAATAGAGACAGGACCCAGGACCCTTTAGAGTCAGGAGGCACAATCCCCAATACAATAAATCCATCCATACCTAGACCCATCCAAACACAATTGCAGAAAAGACAAAGAAGAGGTCCTAAAAGCTACTGAGGAGGGTGGAAAGAAGGAAGAACATGTTGACAATTGCTTTCCCACCCGCAGCAACAGAAGACAGTGGAGTAAGAGAAAGCAAGCATGAGGTTAGAGATGATCCCCAGCTCAACTATTACTGAATGAAATAACCTCTCAGCACCGATCTGTCTAGAGATCTCTTTACCACAAACGGACACTTTCTCAAGGGACACATCCCCATGTTCATTTACGTACGTCTGTGTCTGCTCTCCTGCTACAGTGGCAGAGTATCTGCAAGGGAGACCACATCTTTGCTCTCTGAAAGACTCAATTAGGAAGATGGAGAGACAAGCTACAGGTTGGGAAAAAACCAATTGGTGGTTTACAAACCACCAATCAGACCAAGGACTCATCTATCTCCAGAGACTCATCTCCAGAATGCATAAAGAACTCAAAGCTCAAAAGTAGGCCAGGTACAGTGGCTTACGCTTGTATTTCTAGCACTCTTGGAGGCTGAGGTGAGATGGCTTGAACCCGGGAGGTCAAGGCTACAGTGAGCCATGATTACACTCCTGCACTCCTGGCTGCATGACAGAGTGAGGCCTTGTCTCACAAAACAAAACCTCCAAAGTAAAAAATGGGAAATAATGCATGAACAATATTTTCACTCCCAATCATAGAGAAACAAAGTAGTGCTACACACCTGAGCTCCGGTGAGTTCCGGCACGGGTTGGTGAGTTGCAGGGACTCTGCAGCATAAAGCGTTAGTTGCACATCCAAATGGCCAGGTTGTTATTTCAGCATCCACTGATGAGTGCATTATAAAAAGCACTGTCCTAGTGCCCAAAAGGTGGTGGCTGATAAGAAAAAAGTGAGGCTCAGGGGCAGGAATCAAGGTCACGGCCTACCAACCAGATCCTCTCGGGAAGCAGCATTCGACTCATGAAGTGCCAAGACAGGAGATGGTGTCGCTCCGGTGGAAGCTTGGACAATCTGGAATCAAGCAGAAGCACTCATTGTTCTGACCGTGTCAATACAAAACCGTCAGCTACTACAGCGATGAACAGAACATCTGGGACGACAGGCAACTCAGAAGATTTACAGCCACAGGGTAACAATGGAGTCTTATCTGCAGTTAAGGTCCTCTGTATTCCTGTTAGGGTTTATGTATTTTTTTGAGACAGAGTCTTGCTCTCTCACTCAGGCTGAAGTGCAGTGGAGCAATCTCAGCTCACTGCAACCTTCTCCTCCCGGGTTCCAGCAATTCTCCTACCTCAGCCTCCCGAGGAGCTGGGATTACAGCCATGTGCCACCACGTCCCGCTAATTTTTTTGTGTTTTTAGTGGAGACGGGGTTGCACCATGTTGGCCAGTATGGTCTCAAACGTCGGACCTCATGATCCGTCTGCCTTGGCCTCCCAATGTGCTGGGATTCCAGGTGGGAGCCACCGTGTCTGGCCAGCTTTACTTGTTTTAAATCAAGGGCTAAATTCTTCCCCTCTCTTGGACACCAGTGAAGTATTTAAGAAAAGCACTCACCAATTACAGTTAACATTTGAAGGACAAATTTAAAGGTGGTTATAAGTTACAAAATAAAGGCGTCTTATGAACTCTCATAAGAAAAAAAGAATATTAAGACACTTTTTGCTATCTTTTTGGGATAGGGTCTTGCTCTGTCCTCCAGGCTGGAGTACAGTGGTGCAGCCTCCCAAGTAGTTGGGATTACAGGCGTCCACCACCATGTTTTTGTCTTTTTAGTAGAGATGGGCTTTCACCATGTTGGCCAGGCTGGTCTCAAACTTCTGAGCTCATGTGATCCTTCCACCTATCACCTGACCAGAGAAATTAAGACATTCTCAGATAAACAAAAGCTGAGACAGTTCATTACATTGGGACCTGTCGTGCAAGAAATGCTAAAGGGAGTTCTTCAAGTCAAAACAAAAAGATGCTAGGTGGACATTTGAAGCCACATATAAAGACCTGTATTATTGAAATTTTGATTCACATCTCTGATTTTAATTATTTTACTGGATTTAAAAGAGGCGTAACCATAAGCCTATGTTAAATATGTAATTTATTTTAAAAAATTAGGCATGGTGGCGTGCACCTGTAGTCTCGGCTATGGAGGATCACTTCAGTCCAGGGGCTTCAGGTTACAATGAGCTATGACAGTGACACTGCACTCCAGCCTGGGTGACAGAGTGAGACCCTCTCTCTAAAATATAGATATACTTTGTAATGAAAACATAGGACGGGGTAGAGCTGTCGAGGAGTTGAATATTTGGTATGTGATTGAACTTACTAGTTTAAAATCAATTGCCATATCTTCAGGATGTATTACGTAATCCTCATGGTAATTACAAAGAAAATATCTATAGAATGTACACAAAAGGAAGTAAGAAGGGATTCTAAGTGTATCACGCAAAAAAAAAAAAAAATTAAACACAAAGGCAGGCAGAAGGAAGGAAATGAGAAAGAAAACAAACCCTAAGCCATGCAGAAAACAATCCACAGAGTGGCACCTAAAAGCCCCGTAAATGGTGTGCTGGAGTCCTCCCAGAACAACTGCTCACCTTAGTCCCTGGCTGTGGGCCTCATGGCACAGTCACCCACCAGGCTATTGAGTTTCATCAGATGATAATCTTTAAAAGTGCAAATTATTTCCACAATCTAAAGACAGTAAGAGACTTACACATAGGATGACAAAAAAGATACTCCATGGAAATGGTAACTGAGAAAAGGAGGGAGGAGCTAGATTAATCTCAGACTAAGTAGACTTAAGGTCAGAAGCTGTTGTGAGAGATAACAACAGTCCATTCACCAAAAAGATGCAACAGTTATAAAGGTATGTGCAACGCACCTCAGAGCTCCTAAATATATGACTCAAACACTGACAGAATGAAAGAAGAAACAGTTCTATGAAACTTGTAGGAAACTTCAACACCTCGCTTTTTTTTTTTTTTTTCCCCCAGACAGAATCTTGATTTCCCAGGCTGGAGTGCAGATGCAACCTCCTGAATTCAAGTGATTCTCGTGCCTCAGCCTCAGAGTAGCTGGGATTACAGGTGTATGCTACCATGCCCAGCTATTTTTAGTAGAGACAGGGATTCACCACATTGGCCAGGCTGATCTTGAACTCCTGACCTCAAGCGATCCACCCACCTTGGCCTCCCAAAGTGCTGGGATTACAGGCATGAGCCTCTGTGCCTGGCCCAATAATTGACTTTCAATAATGGATACAACACCCAGACAGAGGATAAAGAAGGAAACAGAGAGCTTGAATGATACTACAGACAAATTGGACCTACCAGACACACACAGATGAGTTCACCCAAGAGCAGAATACACATTCTTCAAAGTACATGTGGAACGTTCTCTGGGAAAGGTCATACATTAGGCCTGAAAGCAAGATTTAATACATTTTAAAGGACTGAATTCATAACGGCAGAATGAAAACTGGAATATTCACAAATCTATGGGAACTCGACAACAACTATGAATCAAAGAAAAATAAGGAAAATTATAAAGTATTTTGAGACAAAACAATGTATCAAATCTGTGGGATGCAGCAAAAGCAGTGCTATGAGGGAAATTTATAGCTGTACATGCTTACATTTAAAAAAAAAAAAAAAAAGGCTGGCTCTAGGTAGTGGCTCACATCTGTAATCCCAGCACTCTGGGAGGCCGAGACAGTCAGATAACCTGATGTCAGGAGTTCAAGACCAGCCTGGCTAACATGGGCACCCCATCTTTACTAAAATCATAAAATTAGCCAGGGGTGGTGGCAAGCACCTGTAATCTCAGCTACTTGGGAGGCTGAGGCAGGAGAATCATTTGAACCCATGAGGAGGAGGTTGCAGTGAGCCAAGATTGTACCACTACACTCCAGCTTGGGAGAGACAGCTAGACTCCATTTCCCCCCACCCCCCCACACACACAAAAGCAGCAGTAGCCAGGCATAGTGACACTGTTCTATAATCCCATCTACTTGGAAGGCTGAGGCCAGGAGATTGCTTGAACCCAGGAGTTTGAGACTAACTCAGCAAGTGGCAAGACCCTCTCTCAAATAAAAGAAAAAGGAAAAAGCTCTCAAACTGCAATCCTAACTTTGTACCTTAAATTATTAGGAAGAGAAGAACAGCCTAAACCCAAAGTAGGAGAAGGAAGGAAATACTTAAGGTTAGAACAGAAATAAATGAAATAGAAGATGAATCAGTGACCAAAAACTTGACAAGAAAGTACAAGAACAGATGGCTTCATGGGTGACTTGTACCAAACATTTATGGAATCAATACCAATCCTGCTCATCTTCTTCCAAATTACTGAGGAAAGAGCCGGGCACAGTGGCTTAAGCCTGTAATCCCAGCACTTTGGGAGGCCTGAGGCGGGTGGATCACGAGGTCGAAGAGATCGAGACCATCCTGGTCAACATGGATGAAACCCCGTCTCTACTAAAAATACAAAAAATTAGCTGGGCATGGTGGCGCGTGCCTGTAATCCCAGCTACTCAGGAGGCTGAGGCAGGAGAATTGCCTGAACCCAGGAAGGCGGAGGTTGCGGTGAGCCAAGATCGCGCCATTGCACTCCAGCCTGGGTAACAAGAGCAAAACTCCGTCTCAAAAAAAAAAGAAATGCTAGAGGCCCAACAGTGTGGAGTCTTCCAAAATCCATAGAAAGGAAAAGGGATAGGCCAGGCAAGGAGGCTCACGCCTGTAATCCCAACACATTGGGAGGCTAAGGTGGGTGGATCACGAGGTCAGAAGTTTGAGATCAGCCTGACCAACATGGAGAAATCCTGTCTCTACCAAAATTACAAAAATCAGCCAGGTGTGGTAGCACATGCCTGTAATTCCAGCTACTCAGGAGGCTGAAACAAGAGAATCACTTGAACCTGGGAGACGGAGGTTGCAGTGGGCTGAGATTGTGACATTGCACTCCAGCCTGGGTGACAGAGCAAGACGGTCTCTAAATAAATAAATAAATAAATAAATAAATAAATAAATAATAAGGAAAAGGGATAGAGGAGAAACTTGTAGATTGTGTCTTTTTTAAAATTTTAGTTTTTGGCCGGGCACAGTTGTTCACACCTGTGATCCCAGTATTTGCACTTTGGGAGACTGACGTGGGCAGATCACCTGAAGTGAGGAGTTTGAGACCAGCCTGGCCAACATGGCAAAACCCCGGCTCTACTAAAATTACAAAAATTAGCTGGGCATGGTCCCATGTGCCTGTAATCCCAGCTACTTGGGAGGATGAGGCAGAAGAATGGCTTGAACCCAGGAGGCGAAGGTTGCAGTGAGCCGAGATCGCACCACTGCATTGCAGCCTGAGTGGAGTAAAAAAAAAAAAATTAGTACTAATACAACCTTTCCATTTTTACTGTTAGTATAATATTCAATAAATTGCATGATGGCCAGGTGCAGTGGCTCATGCCTTTAATCCCAGTACTTCAGGAGGCTCAGGTGAGAGGATCACTCGAACCCAGGAGTTAGAGACCAGCCTGGGAAACATAGTCTGACCCTGTCTCTATAAAGAAGATAAAAATTAGCCACGTGCAGTCGTGTGCACTTGTAATCCCATCTACTTGGGAGGCTGAGGCAGGAGGGATCACTTAAGCCCAGGAGGCTGAAGCTGCAGTGAACTATAATCATGCCACTGCACTCCAGCCTAGGTAACAGAGCAGGACCTCATCTCTCAAAAAATAAAAAATTTTGACCAGATGTAGTGGCTTACACCTGTAATCCCAGAACTTTGGGAGGCTGAGATGGGTGGATCATGACAAGGTCAGGAGTTCAAGACCAGCATGACCAACATGATGAAACCCTGTTTCTACTAAAAACACAAAATTTAGCCAGTGCTCACGCCTGTAATCCCAGCTACTCGGGAGGCTGACGCAGGAGAATCACTGGAACCTGATAGGCAGAGGTTGCAGTGAGCCAAGATTGCCCCACCGCACTCCAACCTGGATGACACTGTGAGACTGTCTCAAAAAATAATAAATGCATTTTCAACTTAGTATAATTTCAACTTTTTTTTTTTTTTTTTTTGGAGACAGGATCTTGCTGTGTTGCCCAGACTGGTCTTGAACTCCTGGGATCAAGCAATCTTCCCACCTTGACCTCCCAAAGCATTGGGATTATGGACCTGAGATACTCCACTTGGCTGCTATTACCAATTTATGATAGATTTATGGGGATATGACCCCATCATGATTCAAGGAGCATCTGTAATCATGCTGAAAATGGGGGTGGCTTGTGTGAGGAAAGGTGGAACAAAAAACAAAAGAGAAATAGGCCAGGCACACTGGCTCACTACTAAAAATACAAAAAAAAAAAAAAAGAAAAGAAAAATTAGCCAGACACAGTAGCACACACCTGTAATCCCAGCTACTTGGGAAGCTGAGGCAAGAGAATCGCCTGAATCTGGGAGACAGAGATTGCAGTGAGCCGAGATCACATCACTGTGCTCCAGCCTGGGCAACAGAGCAAGACTGCCTCAAAAGGAAAAAAACAAAAAAACAAAAAAACAAAAATGGTGTAAGTTAGAAATTTTATTGAACTGTAAGTGAATTAAACACTCCAAATTAAAGTGAGATAGTGAGATTGAGTTTTAAGAAACACAAACAAAAACATCTATCGAATGTGTAGAAGAGGCACCCTCTAAATACAAAAACACAGCTAGCCGGACGTGGTGGCTCAAGCCTATAATCCCAGCACTTTGGGAGGCCGAGGCGGGTGGATCACGAGGTCAAAAGATGGAGACCATCCTGGTCAACATGGTGAAACCCTGTCTCTACTAAAAATACAGAACATTAGCTGGGCATGGTGGTGCGTGCCTATAATCCCAGCTACTCAGGAGGCTGGGGCAGGAGAATTGCTTGAACCCAGAAGGCGGAGGTTGCGGTGAGCCGAGATCACGCCATTGCACTCCAGCCTGGGTAACAAGAGCGAAACTCCGTCTCAAAAAACAAAAAAAAAAAAAAAAAAAAAAAAGAAAAGAAAAAGAAAAAAAAAAAACACAGCTAAGATGAAAACAGGATGAAAAAAGATACCTATGTAAACATTAGTTATAAGAAAGCTCTATTAACATTAGATAAATAGATAAGTAATATGTGGGCTTCCTACTTCTTTCGCGGAACAATTAAAAACAGAATATGAGGTTGGTGCAGTGGCTCAGGCCTGTAATCCCAGCACTTTGGGAGGCTAAGGTGGGCAGATCACCTGAGGTCAGGAGTTCAAGACCAGCCCGGCCAGCATGGTGAAACCTTGTCTCTACTAAAAGTACAGAAATTAGCCAGGCACGATGGCAGGTGTCTTTAACCCCAGATACTTGAGAGCCTGCCATGGGAGAATGGCTTGAATCTGGGAGGCACAAGTTGCAGTGAACCAAGATTATACCACATACTCCAGCCTGGGTGACAGAGCAAGACGCCATCTCAAAAACAAATATCAGAGAATGGTACACTTTAAACTGCTGCATTTTGTGGTATGTAAATTACATGTCAATTTCTTAAACGACTGGTAGGAGAAGGAAGGCACTGAAAATTATATTCTGGTTTCATAATTAAACAACAGGTTTCTTCCTTTCTCCCCCCAAAATGTCCCCTTTCAGTTTCTGCAAACTTTCTCCTTCCCTCCCCTATCCATCCACCCAGAGGAACTTTTATCTGTTCCCACCCAACCAGATTAGAAGCCTTTGTTTGTCCTTTAATTTGAGGCCTGCTAGGTAAATTAGAAGTCCCGAGTTAAGAAAGAGAGGCGTTCCAGAACCCTGTTCCATCTGAGCCTCCCACCCCCCATGACTCACTTTACCCCATAACATGCCTCTCCTCTGGTTTACCATCTGAAAGAAAGAATAAACTTATTTTTCTTACTCACCAATAATTTATATAAACCAAATTGCAAACAAGGGTGTCCTTAGCAACCTGATCTCATTCTCTTCAAATACCAATTGCTCTCCAGTAAAGGGATTGTCTTTCCAGACAACATCAATTCACTTGGAAATCTCACTTAAAACAGAAAAGTTAAGGTTTTCAAAGGTTTGCTGTGGGCAAAGCATTTGCGGGAATGCATGGGGCTGAAGGTCAAAGGCAAAGAAAACAAGGCATAAATTATTTTGCTCTTATTTCATTTGTCCTTATATGCCCATGGTTAGTGATTAGTGCAGTGACAAGAATCTGCTTTTGCAGTTTTTTTATTTTTATTTTTAGGAGACAGTCTTGTTCTGTAGCCCAGGCAGAAGGGCAGTGGCACAATCTCAGCTCACTGCAATCTCCATCTCATGGGTTCAAGAGATTCTCCTGCTTCAGCCTCCTGAGGAGCTGGGATTACAAACACCCATCACCATGCCTGGCTAATTTGTGTGTTTTTAGTACAGGCAGAGTTTCACCATGTTGTCCA